GGAAAAGTGGTAGCTTATGGCTCACGTCAGTTGAAAATACATGAGAGGAATTACCCTACACATGACCTAGAGTTAGCAGTAGTGATATTTGCCTTGAAGATTTGGAGGCACTACTTTTATGGTGAGAGGTTCGAGGTGTTCTCGGACCATAAGAGTTTGAAGTACCTGTTTACATAGAGGGACTTGAATTTGAGGCAGAGAAGGTGGATGGAGTTCATTGAGGTCTACGACTTTGAGTTGCACTATCACCCGGGAAAGGCCAATGTAGTGGCCGATGCCCTTAGCAGGAAATCCATTAGTGATGTAGTTTGTATAGCCATCCGGAAGTAGGAGATGTTGGGTGCACTTGGCGAGTTTGATTTACTTCTGGGCGAATCCGTTGAGGCTGCGGCCTTGTTTTCTGTTGTTTCGCAACCTACACTTGTGACTCGAGTGTTAGAGGCACAGAGAGGTGACCTTGAGGTAGAATCCCTCCGAGAGAAGATCTCCAGTGGGAAGGTTGAGAAGGGTTTGACGGTGTATCCTGACCTGAGTGTAAGATACCGAGACCGTTTGCTTGTGCTGGAGTCTTGCCGAGAGGAGGTACTCCGAGAGTTTCACCATTCACGCCTTGCGGTGCATCCGGGAGGCACTAAGATGTATTGGGATTTGGGTCGCCAGTTTTGGTGGCAGGGTATGAAGAAGGATGTGGCAATATTTGTGTCTAAGTGCCTTACTTGTCAGTAAGTGAAGGCCAAGCATCAGAGGCTAGCGGGTTTGTTATAACCCTTGCCTATTGCTGAGTGGAAGTGGGAGCATGTCACTATGGACTTCATTGTAGGTCTTCCGAGGACTCAGCGGGGTAGTGATGCTATTTGGGTGGTTGTAGACCGGTTGACTAAGTCGGCGCACTTTATTCCTATGCGCGTGAGAGATTCGGTAGACCATCTTGCCAACTTGTATATTCGGGACATAGTGAGGTTGCACGGGGTCCCAGTGACGATCGTCTCAGATAGAGACCCTCGTTTTGCTGCTAGGTTGTGGTAGAGTTTGCAGAGTGCCTTGGGCACTAAGTTGACCTTTAGTACGGCTTATCATCCTCAGACTGACGGGCAATTTGAGTGTATTATTCAGATCCTTGAGGATATGCTTCGAGGTTGTGTCCTTGACTTTAGTGGGACGTGGGAGAGGCACTTGCCCTTGGTGCAGTTTGCCTACAACAACAGCTTTCAGTCGAGTATCGGTATGGCACCGTTTGAGGCCTTGTATGGCCGACCGTGTAGGTCTCCAGTTTGTTGGGCCGAGGTGGGTGATGCACCTTTGTTTGGACCGGAGTTAGTGAGGGAAACAACGGAGAAAGTTGAGCTTATCCGTAGGAGGCTTGTTACAGCCTAGAGTCGCCAAAAGAGTTATGCCGACCGTAAGAGGAGGCCTTTGGCTTTTGAGACTAGTGATTATGTTTTTTTGAAAATATCACCTAGGCGAGGGCTGATGAGGTTTGGGAAGAGTGGGAAGTTATCCCCTCGATTTATTGGTCCCTTTGAGATCATTGAGAGGATTGGGGAGGTTGCTTACCGTTTGGCTTTGCCACCGTAGTTGTCTGGGGTTCATGATGTATTTCATGTTAGTATGCTTCGGAAGTACGAGCCGGATCCATCACACGTGTTGGATTGGACTGACTTAGAGGTAGATGAGGATGCCTCGTATGAGGAGAGACCGGTTCGGGTCTTGGATAGGCGGGATCAAGTCTTGCGAGGCAAGACCATTCCCTAGGTAAAGGTTTTGTGGAAACATCACGGGGTGGAGGAAGCCACTTGGGAACGTGAGGCGGATGTCCGTGAGAATTATCCGAACTTGTTTGTTGATGTGTAATCATGTATTGAGATTTTGTAATATTGCTGAACTTTAAGAGCATTATATATGTCTTAAGTTGTAAAACATGGTATATGTTTTGGTTTATGGAATTATGTTTTGGAACTTGCCTTAAGATGGAAGTTTATTGTAACATTGTATATGTTGAATGCATTGTAGAAATGGCAATATATCATGAATATTGAATATGATATAGAATTGTGGAATGTGGTATTGAAATTTGTGAAATTTCAAGGAATGCATAACTATAATGCATGTTGTGGAAAATGTTGTAAATTGCCTCTTGAAAAGAGATGAGATGACCGGTAATGAGTCGAGTTGTTAAATTTCACATTTTAATAATGTGGGGAATTGAGAAAATCTTGTTTTTGAAAAAAAAAACTTATATTTAATTTCGGGGACGAAATTCTTTAAGGGGGGAAGGTTATAGCGATTCCGGTTTTCCCTTTCTGTATCTGTTGTATTTCGGACTTGGGTTCTGTGGAGTTGGTGGTTGTATACCTTTTTGTCATTCTTTAATTCTGTATGTTTGAGTCTTGGGATGTGTTGGGCGTGTTTCGAACGGGTAGGTTGAGTTTTGGTCTCAAGTGTAGTTGCCCAGGTTTTTGGTGTTACGCTCGAGCGGGTTATTTTGCGCTCGAGCGGAGTTTGGTTTTTTGGTTGTCTGCTTGAGCGGGCCTTCTTGTGCTTGAGCGGAGATTTCATACTTCCAGTATTTCGTGCCCCTGCAAAAACTTCTGCAGGTGTGTTTTTCACGCTCGAGCGGGTTTCCTACGCTCGAGCGGGTATCTTGGCCCTCGAGCGGGTAGTGTTTTGTTAGTGAAAGTTATGGGAGGGGGAAATCTACACTCGAGCAGACTGGTTTTCGTGCTCGAGCAGATGATTTTTATTCTTGTGTCTTGGAGCTCGAGCGGGCCTTCTTGCGCTCGAGCGTGTCCAGATTTTTGTGCTTGACGCTCGAGCGTTCTATTCTCTGCTCGAGCGAGTCATACGTATATCAGTTGGCAGCTGGGCATTTTTGAATCACTTTTTACACTTCCTCTCTCTCTCTTACTTTTCCAAAATCGATTTTTAGAGCTCCTCTCTCTAGAATCTCCATTCTCTCTAGGGTTTGATCTAGCTAGAGTGTCCCACTACCTTGTTGTCTTTGCAAAAGGTGTGTTGATCGTCGAGGGCTTCGTTTTGATCCGAAAAGTTTGGAATTTAGAGCACTTTGAGTTTGGTCTCCTTCTCCATTTGAGCTCTAACTTCGAGGTAGGGATATCCTACTCCATCTTATGAGCTTTGTCTTTGAATTTTGGCATTTTGATATGTTGTGGGTCGTTGGGTAATTTTGTGAAAGTTTGGGGTCATTGTGTAATTATTCAAGAGATGGGGTTTCAAACATATAAACCTTTATGTATGTAATACATTGGAAAATGGACTCGGTGTTGGATTATTGATGAAAATGGAACCTTAGGGTTGGTGTTGTAATTATGGGAAAAAGCCCTAATTATTGATTAATTAATTTGTACAATTAATTTTGGGAAATGAGAAATTGAATAGGAAATATTCAAATCGGAAAGGTATGGGATAAAAGGGTGGAGTTGGATTAATTTATCGCTCACCTAGACAAATGTTGATATGTTATCCAATTGATGCATTTATTTCCTGCTTAGAGATAACTGTTTTGGGCTATCGTGGAGGATAGTCTTGATTGTTGTAGACAATGCATGATGATTAGGCAAACTAAAACTAATCAATGGAATGTATCATCGAATATGACGGTTGAAATAATACATTAACCTTATGTATTGATTGATTGTGTGTATGATAATTGTTTATATGCACTATGTTGTGTGGGAGGAGATAGGGGATGTACTCCACGGTTTAGGGGAAGATAGGAGATGGACCTCTAAATCGGAAGTTGTTTTCCATTGATACAGCACTACAATGTGTATCATATGTGAAGTATGGAAGTGTTTTTGTTATATTGATACAACACTAAAATGTGTATCATTTGTGAAGTATGGAAGTGGTTTTATGTGTTATTGATACAACACCAAAATGTGTATCCATCATGAATTGCAAGAGTATTTTAGTAATGAGATATAACCTCATTAAATTGCTCGGCCAGGTTCTGAGCCTTGTTTTCAAACTTAAAGTTGAGTAAGAAATGGAAAATGTAATATGGCATGAGTTGGAGTATAAGTGTGAACCATCTATCGAATGCTATCACTTTAGTCATTGTTTATAGTTGGTTTAGTATATTTCTACTGGGCTGTGGCTCACCCTATATGGGATATTATTTTTAGGTACAGGTAGAATGCCACTTCCAAGGATGTAGCTTGGGAGGCTTGAGGCTGTTGGATTCTTTTGTTGTTTTGTTGTATTACATGTATATCAAGCCAAGGGCTTTCTTTGTATAGAGTTAGCACTCTCTTTTTGTAACCAAGTGTTGACTTGGAAAGTTGCAAGCCCATAGGACATTTACTTTTGATGTTAACATGTAATACATTTTGTAAAGACTACTCTGATGGAATATATTTATGCCTTATTCTCTTATGTTTAAGCATGCTATTGTTGGATGATTGAGGGCATTACATTAAGTTTGATTTTAAGCATCTAAGTTATATTAGTAAGTTATTTTGTGCTTGAATGTTAGAATTGCCATGTTAATCACTTAAGTTCATGTTTTGCAAGAGAATTTCTTACATGCATGGAGCTTATGAGCTCAACTTGATAGTTCTTGAGTTTTGAAGAAAAGAGTTTGAAAGATTTTACATGCATGTTTCCCAAATATATTAAGAATATTAAATCAATTTTATAAATATATTACTGGATGCACATTTCAACCAAGGTACTAAAAAATGAAGGATCAAACAGGTAATGTCATGTAAAAGATTTGTAATTAGGAAGAACAATTACAGTAGCCTTCCTTTGGGAATGGAGTCTCTAGACCCTCAAGCAAGTCAGCAGATGTAGACAAAGAGACTTGTTCCTTATTTATGCCAAAGTTAACTGAGAATTTATCAACTAGAAACAGCTAAGCTAAGCATGGCATATCACATATGTTAAGATCATTATAATCTATTCAGCCAACTGAAACCAAGTACCTATTCTAAAAGGGCAATGTCATGATAACATTGTAATCTAGTAAAACAAATAGCAGTTGGCAATTATTAGTTACCTGATTCGAGACAAAGCACCTAGTAGTTGTGCAACTAGGTCCAGAAGCAGCCCCCGCAAATCAACCAATGAAGGATAATCAACCTGGCTAACAACCCTGCATTGGTAAATATTGAGTGGGTACCAAGTATAGCACATGGGTGGAAGAGAGAAAAAGCTTACTCCTAGACAACATGGAGCCCATGTCTCTCCATTTCTTAAAAAGTGATAGTTCATCAAGGTTCATGGTTCATAATGGAGCACACGAACCAGGTCCATGTTTTCTAGCACTCCCTTTGAACAAAAATTATGTAAATTAAAATTTAATCTCTGATTAAAAGCAAAACCTTCTTCACCATATCATAGGTACATATCAATGAAAAAACTACTGCTGATTTGGACCATTATATGGCATGACAAATTCGGTGCACTGTGCAAACTAATATGCCACTTTAATCATGAGAATCAAGGTATCAAAAGAAACAGGGGAGAGAGAGAGAGAGATGTGCATGAAGAAAAAAGGAATGCCAGGGGGGAGAGAACTTCATAAAAACATAACTTCTCATTCCAAATGAATACCAGCATGAGAGAATGCATGCATGATAAATTTTTCTATGCATGCATAGACTCTTCATATGCTAAATCAATATTTGAACATATGTTACGCACTGATTCTGTTAAGAAGGCTTATCATCCATACTGTAGACATAAGTCACAAAGTTTGGGTGTCTACAGTTACCTAAAACCCACCCCAATCGAAAAAGAGATTTAAGCTAGGGATGGAGACCAAACATGCTAGCATAGAGTATAGACAGTTTAGGTTTAGCAAAATAAAGAGAAATTGAATTGTAATATACCATGCAATCAACATCTTTTGCAAACCATGTCCAGTTAGCAAGTTTCTAAAAACCCATATTGACCATTCTTACCTGTCAGCATTGATTAGCCAGTCAAACACAAAATTTTCAAGCCCAATCCATAGCTTCTCTGCAGGGGGTACAAGCCAGGTTCATTGGATTAAAATATTCCAATTCAAATAAAAGTCAGCAAAACAATAGAATGACCAAACCTGTGAGCCCTTCTTGTGGGCAGCACTCCACAAAGCGAATACATGCCGAGCAAAAAATGCACTCCACTGCAAGCTGAACCCATTTAAAAACACTATTAATAAAACTCAAATTTGCAAACAGGAATAAGAATTTAAGCAAAATATTAATGTCTTACAAACCTTCCTCTGGAATGTAGATGCATCATTTGCACCCTTTGGGGATTCACTGCGACAGAAACCAAAAACATAACATTTTAAAGATACAAGTGTCATAACAATTTGTGATAATATACTGCAATGTAGCAAACTAGCAATACAGTTTCACTTCTTAACATAAAGATGACTAACCATATAGGTAAAATTAGACTTTGGCTATTAAGTTTATGAATATGAAGTAATAATATTTCCATGGAAAAGAAAGGGGAAAAAAGTGCAGGGGAACTGCAATATTTCTTGAGACTAATCAAAAGCAAAAGCCCATAACATAATAACCACAGAATTCATAATTCATGAATTAGCACAATTCATGTTGATTAAACTGGAGGCCTTGCGGAGTCTTTTGCAATTGCAAAATTCATGAATTAGCAAAACCAGCTGGTTGTAACCCAATAAGGAATGCGGAAGAGCATTTTTCAGCTAGAACTATAAAACTTCAACTTGGATGAAAAGGAGCTGCAAGGATATGTTTCAAACTCATTGAGACAGGCAAAGGTCTGGTACTGGTGCAGTGGTTTTTTTCCCAGGTTATGCAGAGCTTAAATGGCTTGTGGTTGTCTGGTTGAGTTCTCTGATGATGCTGCTTCCAGATAGGACAACAACTGTGTTGCTGTTCATGGCTTTTTATTTTTATTTTTTTATTTGCTTATATGTAAGTCCTAAAGATATGGGTGTTAAGGAGGAGGAGAAGGCTTTTGAGTAGAAAAATTCATGAAAATAATAGTGATTCAAATTGAAAATTCTGCAGGTAGAAATCGAAGAAAATAAAGGACGATGGTAGGAACCACTCCCAGACATCACAGCTACAGTAAGAATGGCATCAAAACAATCCAAAAGAGCATAGTTGCCATTGCCAAAGATTTTCTCCCAGGTTTGTTCTCCATACAAGAAAATATTTAGATACCTTTATATAGTTTTTAAGATATCCTACCTCTGATGGGGCTTGGTTCCATATTAACAAACTTAAGTCTATGACTAGTACAACCTATAATAAGCATACTAAAAACGCCATGCACAAAGATCCACAAAAAAAAACTTTACCCAAGGTCAAAAACTAACACCAATGGATCCACATCCTCACCATATCCATTGGCTCTGTTGTCTACTTCTTGTTTTGATCTTTTATTTTTATAGAATAAAAACATAACTTATTCATCAATCCACCACAATTAATTTCAATATTGAGAGGATTTTCTTTTTTTCTCCCACATTGACTAGCAGCCCCAGCTTTTATTGCAGAATTTCTCATCCTAAACGTAATGTACAACTTGGTTTTTCTGCCCCAATAAAATGTTGGTTGCATATCAAAAATAAATAAATAAAAATATGGACGGGATAATTTGAGTTAGGCTAATGGGATGGTCGAGCTAGGCTTACCCATGTGGGCTGTTACGGGCCGAGTTTATGGACGGGCTTGGATAACAAACTTTTGTCAAATCCTTAAATCATCTTTATGGATTGGAATGGGCTGGACACTTAAGCAGGTTGGAACGGGTTGGGCGGATTGAATAATATTGGGCTTTTTTATTTGCAGGCCATTTGATGACCTCCAGTCCTAGACATTGGTTAATACCGGGATATTTTGGAAATAATTGTGAGTTGCGATGATTTACCAAGTGTCTATTGTCCTAGACATTGGTTAAAATAGGGATAGAAAGAATTTTAAAAATGAGTTTGGTTTCTTTCAAGTTGGTTTCTTTCTAGAATTGCAGGTTTTTACTTGTGCTCTATTTGGATTATAATTGCTTCCTAATTATTTGGAGAAAATATTTTTGAGCAAATCAAGCAGTTAAGAATTACACTCTGAACTGTGTGATAGATATAATTTTTCACTTAATAATGAAAAAAATTATTCATTTTGATGCATTTAAAGATTGGCAACAAAGCTTCTTGCCCCCGCCCCTGCCCAACACTGAAAAATTAAAAAACTGTATATGTTATAATGATACATTGGGATGATTTGGGGGGTTTATATGCTGCTCGACTTTGTTTATGTATAAGGAGTTTGTTGTAAAGCTCCCAAGCTTGCTTAAATTCTTCCTATAAACCAATAGAATTAGCGTTTTTGCCAATACAAGTGTCGATCATATTTCAAATATCTAATAATCACTTGGATTTTGAATTCTTTTCAGGGATTGCATGTCAAGCCAGCAGCTAGTAGGTTTTCTACGTGAGCAGTTGAACACAGTAAGTGTGTGAGATCTCTCTTTGTTATGTGCATTTGTATTGGTGGAATAAGGCATATATAATAAAGTGTGGTAATTCTTATCAATAGTATACTTTGAAGAAGCTACTTAAGCAAGTACATGCATTTTTTTTTTGCCATGGACCAAAAGCAAAAATGCATGCTTAGTGATTGATACTGAAATTGGAATAAGATTTTCCTTGCAAGAAAAGGTAGAGAAAGCATGTGTTATATTGGTTGGGATTGTCGTTGTCTCTCTGGGTACATAAGTATTGTTGGTAATGTTATACATAAATAAATTTCTCACCACACATCAACTCTTGGGCAAAGCTTTGGCAACCCCCACTGGCTATGTGTAGCAATGGTGGTACATTCACCATATGCATGGTTTTCTTTTTTTCAATCCTGATATTTGAGCTTTCACTGTCGACATCATAAATTGTTTGTTATAACACATTACCCACCTGTTGTTGAAAGAGTTGCTGATCTTAGTGACCAGTTTTTTGAGCTTTTGACAATCTTAGAATTCTTGCAGAAGTAGAATTTGGCAATACAAATTTTTGGGTACCTCAATCAAATATAAAAATTTGTTTGTTTTTTTTTCCTAATTATGCATGAAAGCGAGCTCTGTGGTATGTGAAAGAGTACTTGATAGGTGTTTGGCACCATCTATTTCTGGCGGTGAGGGATGTGACAACATGACCATGATCTTGGTGCAGTTCAAGAAACCCCATGAGTGCTGCTGCTGCTGCTGCTGATGCAGATGAGAAATCCTCGACTTCTGATCATGGAAATCAGTCTACTACTGCAGCTGCAGACGAGAAATCCTCAACTTCTAACATAGCCGATACTGAATTGAAACCAGCGGAAACTGAGTCAACCCCGTGACAAGTTTATCAATGTGTCGTCAGATTGCGTTGGTGCGAGCTGTAGTTCCAAGGATATTCAAGAATCCTTGGTTGTCTCTGTAACTGAAGACAGTTTGGCTGGTAAAGATGGGCCGGTTACAAATTTACGATTGAGATTCGCTGTGTGGTGTGTTTTTTTCCTTTTTCTATACGATATTATAATTGCAAGTAACTTGCACAAAATAGATCTGGATCAAAGTTGTTCAACTGTCATCTAGTTTAGCAGTCTATATTAGCTTGATAATGGTTTTTATATACCCTGCTTGTTTTTTCTTCAAAATCATTGGTTCTTTTCTGCTAAAGATGTGGATGTTTATTAAATTTTCTTTGTTTATGTTTCCAAACTAATGAAAAATTATATGTGACAAAAGATGAAAATGATAAACAAGACGTGTAAAGAAAATTAACTAGAAACTATAACATTGTGTTTGGATTCAAAATTAGAATTTTAGTCAAACCTCTCCATTGGACTTTTGTTTGGTGAAATAGATAATTTAATTTATTTTGTTTCATAAATTCTCCAAGGAAGAGGCGCATAATTAAGCAAAGATATAGTAAAATATTATTATTATTATTTTTTGGATAATATTGCCAGAGTAACATGTTACTATGAGATAGAGTAACATGTTACTGTGAAATAGAGTAACATGTTACTATTTACAACAATTTCAACAATAATATTTTTTTTTTAAGAATTTCATAATTAACGTGGATCTTATTTGATAGATTTTGATGAGAGGATTTTAAAAATATTAATTTTATTAAAAATCGACTTCTAAATCAAAAAATTTATTATTTTAAGTTTAATATTTTAGTAATAGTGGTATGTGTTGGACTTTTTAAAAAAAACTTTTTGTATTTGTCCATTTTATTATGAGGGAGTTTGACCAAATTCCCCATTCAAAATTGGGAAATTTGATCAGTAATCCCATCCGAGCTTCATTTTCTTGTTAAAAGAACCAAAAAAATAAAAAATTAGTACTTTTAAAATTCACTCATAATCATAAAGTCTTGTATAAAAAACAAAATTTGTTATTTCAATATTTTATTTGATCATTATATCCTCTCTTTCTTCTCTTTCTTTTGCGGCATCTCTTTATCTTCATCAACTCGATGGCTGTTCATCGCATCCACCATTTTCATCGTCTGCCGACATTGCTCATCCTCACTGTACGGGGAGCAAATATTCCGGCAAGCCCATACTCCTTTCTTCCAAGCTCTTGCCTATCCGATCGACCTGCGAGCACAACGGCGGTGAGCTATCCGGCGGTGTGTGGCTGGAATGCCCCTCTGACGATCAGTTAGACACACACAGGGATAGAGAGAGAGGATTGAGTGTTTAGTGTAAATCTCACCAAATGTTCATCTGTCTCCGCATGGGGGGCGCAGACTCGCTTATATACCTTATGCGCCCCAAATCTACTCCCATTAGTCTCTCGACATGTGGTGCTGCTATCCCATCTGTCAGCGCAAATCTAGCTGAACATCACCTAACCAGACCGCCAGCCCACACTACTGGGAGCTCGGCAGCCGAGCTGCAGCATCTCAGCTGCTAAAGGCCGTGTTATATTGCTAGCCAGAGCGCTCTGCTCGCCTAGCTCAATGACGACCGAGCTCAGTTACATTCCGGCACAGCCGAGCTCTAGACAGCTCATGCTGGTTAGCTGTCGGCCTTCTTACCAGGCTAACCCATGAACCGTGGAACCCAGTGAGGCAGCGGACATCGAGGCCGAACCATCACTCGACCAGTTTCTGCACCCTGAAGCCAAATAGCTCGGTCCAACCATGCCTTGCTTTAGCCGAGCAAAACCTTTCTAGACAGGCCCATGCTACCACGGCCCAACAGTGTTCAGCCCAAATCTGCCCGGCCATTACCACGGCCCAATCCAGATTATAAATCTCCCTCTCAATTGCCCCTTAATCTCGTCCGCGCAAGCGTGAGTGGGATTATTTGTTCTGACCAGGGTAAACTCTTCCTCGGTCCTCGGTTTGCAAGACAACAACCTGGCTAATTGATATGACTGGCTTCTGAACTTGCCTGGTCGACGCATCGACTTGCCATCCTGTCTCTTCAGTACTAACGCCGCCGTCAATAGGGACACGTGTCGCTCGCTCATTGGCCTCGAGCAACCAACCATCACGTCCCTTCACATTCAAATTTTTTGGAGGTTCTTCAACCCTACAAACACGCCATATCCCCCTTCATTTCACTCTTACTGACTCCCCTTCAACCTTCGACATTCCAGAGCTCCAACCTCCATTCTTGTTCCTCTTCTCCGTTCGTGCGTGAAGACTCAGATTCAACCCCCTTCCTGGTAAGTCCTTCGAGCACTTTATTGCTATTTCATTTGATATTTCACATATTAGGGCACAAAATCCGTAGGTTTTAGGACATAACCCTCCCAAAACCCACATTTGCCCCTATTCTCTTCGCTGTTCTTCAATCCCAGTGATGAACACATGAACACATGAAGATTTGGAGCGGACCGGGCCCTAGGTCTTCTTTTGATCCAAAAAACAATTTGACCGAGCAATTTACAAGTTTGCCAAAACCTTAGTAGAAACCGAGGTAGACAGAGAACTTGGCCGCTCGACCGGGCTAGCAACTGGTCTGCTTGAGCAACCGAGCTCCTTGGTTTGCCTTCGCGACCGAGGTGGTCTGGAACCCTTCACGACCGCGCTTCCACTTACACTTGCCATCCTTTTCTTGCAGAGTCCAAGGGGACCACTGACCAATTACCGAGGCTCTCAAAGACCGAGCAGCCATTAAACTCCAGTTTGTGCCAAACCACCTCAGCCGAGCTAAACCAGCTGGCTACACATGGGGCGCTTCCGCTTCCTTGTTGATACTCCGGCTGCCTTGGCCGTATTCCGGGAAGAATATGGTATCCCGGTCGACGTCCACCTAGAGCTCAGCGAAATCGAGACAACCCCTTGGGACAGATTAGACCAGTGCCCCTTCACCATGCTATCCATCATTGAAGGAGGCCTCCACTTCCCGGTCAACCCACTGATGACCGAATTCTTGCGCCGCACCGGGCTAGCACCCACTCAAGTCTCAACCAACACTTATCGAATAATCAACGGGGTCCATGAGTTGAACAACAGGCTAGGAACCAACTTAGGTTTAGTCGAGATACTCCGTTAATACACCCTTGGGCACACGGGCGACGGCCTCGCCTATTACTTAAAAATTCGACCGGGCAAAGAAAAAATAGTGACCGGCACCCCAGACAAGGACTTACACGACAACGACTTTTTCTGGGTGTCTGGCAACTATGAAACGGCCGACGTACCGGGCTAGTTCATCAGCAAGAATTTCGATACCACATGTAAGCTGTGCCAACTTGCTCGGTCAATTGCCTTTGTTCCATATTCTGTATTTTAACACTTCTCTTCTTTCCTTTGCAGCAATCCAAGCCTTACAAGCCAACTACCACTATCCCAACGAAGAAGCCATCAGGGCCGTGCTCCGTTATCGCAACCGAGATTACCTCCGCGCCGGAGTAAAGTTACTGACTTTCTCCGTGCTCCATCTCCGCCTCCAGATCCCACACTGCCAGGCGTCCCCTTTATTCGTTTAACCGAGGTAGAAGAAATGGCAAAGAGAAGCCGTATCAAGAACCTACTCACAGCAACCTCCACCGAGATACTGAGCATACCAACCCGCTCTCCTGCAGCCAGTCAATCCAGTGGGGCCGTGGTGGCGTTGGCATCTTCTGCCGTCGGGCAAGCAAGCCAAGACATCTGCTACGTTGGGAAAAGGCCTCATGCAGACCCATCTGCCGAGCTGGTTGTGGAGCTCAATACCGAACAACCTGCCGTCACGGTCAACCCAACGCCCGCGTGGAAACCGCAGTTCAAACACCGAGGCAAGGAGATCCCGGCAACAGCTTCTGTCAAAGGCGACAAAGAGCATCTGCTCGCCTTTGACCTCACCAAAGCGCTCCTACTACCAAGCAACGTGGTTGGCAGTGACCATGTGCCAAACACCCGGTTGGTGAAGTCGTCGGTCAAATCCATAACCAGGGTAAGAATCTCAAACTTCCCTCAAAATTTCTCAAGTGTTTGTTCGGTTTCCTTTCTAACTAAACTTTCTTCTTGTAGGCCATCCAGAAGCAGCACTTGGTCATGGAGCGCATTCACTGACTCCGGCAGAAGGCCAATGATTCTGCCAGCCAGGTTGCAAGCCTCCAAATCGAGCTCGGGAGAGCCCAGTCTTCATTGCAAATGGCGAACTCCGACAACTCTCGGTTGCTCGGCCAGCTTGGCTCTACCGAGAAGGCGAGAGACGCGCTGCGGGCTGAGCTAGATGCGCTGAAACAATCACGGGAAGAGGATCTGAAGGGTGCAAACAACGCCGGTTTCCTTGAAGCCGAGGATAGTTACACAAAGCAGGTCCGCGCCACCCAAGACATTTTCTTCAAGGCTGGGTAGAAGTCTTCTTGTGAACATCTCGGCCAGGGACCGAGGACCGACGTGTTCGCCACTCCTCCAACTGCCTCCCTACCGAGCTATCTCATGCCCTACGCCAACGACGTCTTCGCCGCGTTGTAGGCTGAGGCCGAGGAAGAAGGCGACGAGGAAACCGAGGAAAATGCGGAGGGGGAAAATCACACAGTTCAGCCCGGCCAAACGGAGATCGGTGTCCAAGACCAAACACCAACGGTCAACCTGGAGGCAGCCGAGGACGAATTCACTGACCTTTCCCTCCTAGCTTAGTTTTTTTTGTCTTCTTTCTCCCTTTTTGGTTTACACATGTAACCAGGTTATCCGCCTCTCCTCTTGTAATTACTTTTCATATCAATGAAAAAGTTCCGTTTTCTTCAAGTGTTTGTACGGTCTTCAAGCGAAATAGCTTCAACCGAACAAAATACCTCGGCAAGACTAACCAGCTTGAGTAACCAGAATAAAACATCGCGGTTAAAGTCTCAGGAAGTTGAATAAATCGTCAGCTTAGTAAAACATCTCGGTTTTAAACTAAAAGTTGGGCAAATCATCAACGCAATTAACCGAAGTAAAACATCTCGGTTTTAAACTAAAAGTTGAGCAAATCATCAACGCAATTAACCGGAGTAAAACATCTCGATTTTAAACTAAAAGTTGAGCAAAACATCAACTCATTCAACCAGAGTTAACATCTCGGTTGAGAATCTCAGAGTGAGCAAAACATCAACTCACTCAACCGGAGTAAGACATCACGGTTGAGAATCTAAAAGTTGAGCAAAACATCAACTCATTCAACTGGAGTAAGACATCACGGTTGAGAATCTAAAAGTTGAGCAAAACATCAACTCATTTA